ATCCAATCTGCTCCTGCTGGGGAAAAAAATTCCTTCCTGACCCCCCGAGAGGCAATCGGATATTCCCTGGATCAACTTTCCCTATAAATGTTATATCCAGTTATATTCTGTGTATCCAAGAAAGAATCCAGGACTTTCCTACAGCAATCCCCCCCTTATGTATTATACATGGAGATCATATCCCCCCCCCCTTATGTATTATACATGGAGATCATATCCCCCCTTATGTATTATACCTTATGTATTATACATGGAGATCATATCCCCCCTTATGTATTATACATGGAGATCATATCCCCCCTTATGTATTATACATGGAGATCATATCCCCCCTTATGTATTATACATGGAGATCATATCCCCCCTTATGTATTATACATGGAGATCATATCCCCCCTTATGTATTATACATGGAGATCATATCCCCCTTATGTATTATACATGGAGATCATATCCCCCCTTATGTATTATACATGGAGATCATATCCCCCCTTATGTATTATACATGGAGATCATATCCCCCCCTTATGTATTATACATGGAGATCATATCCCCCCTTATGTATTATACATGGAGATCATATCCCCCCCTTATGTATTATACATGGGAGATCATATCCCCCCCTTATGTATTATACATGGAGATCATATCCCCCCCTTATGTATTATACATGGAGATCATATCCCCCCCTTATGTATTATACATGGAGATCATATCCCCCCTTATGTATTATACATGGAGATCATATCTCCCCCCTTATGTATTATACATGGAGATCATATCCCCCCTTATGTATTATACATGGAGATCATATCCCCCCTTATGTAGACATGGAGATCATATCCCCCCTTATGTATTATTATACATGGAGATCATATCCCCCCTTATGTATTATACATGGAGATCATATCCCCCCTTATGTATTATACATGGAGATCATATCCCCCCCTTATGTATTATACATGGAGATCATATCCCCCCCTTATGTATTATACATGGAGATCATATCCCCCCTTATGTATTATACATGGAGATCATATCCCCCCTTATGTATTATACATGGAGATCATATCCCCCCTTATGTATTATACATGGAGATCATATCCCCCCCTTATGTGTATTATACATGGAGATCATATCCCCCCCTTATGTATTATACATGGAGATCATATCCCCCTTATGTATTATACATGGAGATCATATCCCCCCCTTATGTATTATACATGGAGATCATATCCCCCCTTATGTATTATACATGGAGATCATATCCCCCCTTATGTATTATACATGGAGATCATATCCCCCCTTATGTATTATACATGGAGATCATATCCCCCTTATGTATTATACATGGAGATCATATCCCCCCTTATGTATTATACATGGAGATCATATCCCCCCCCCTTATGTATTATACATGGAGATCATATCCCCCCTTATGTATTTACATGGAGATCATATCCCCCCTTATGTATTATACATGGAGATCATATCCCCCCTTATGTATTATACATGGAGATCATATCCCCCCTTATGTATTATACATGGAGATCATATCCCCCCTTATGTATTATACATGGAGATCATATCCCCCCTTATGTATTATACATGGAGATCATATCCCCCCTTATGTATTATACATGGAGATCATATCCCCCCTTATGTATTATACATGGAGATCATATCCCCCCTTATGTATTATACATGGAGATCATATCCCCCTTATGTATTATACATGGAGATCATATCCCCCTTATGTATTATACATGGAGATCATATCCCCCCCTTATGTATTATACATGGAGATCATATCCCCCCTTATGTATTATACATGGAGATCATATCCCCCCTTATGTATTATACATGGAGAATCATATCCCCCCCCTTAATCTCCTCTTCTCAGTAGAGAATACATTCAGTTCCTCTAATCTTTCCTCATAGCTGAGCTCCTCCATGCCTTGTATCAGTTTGGTTGCCTTCTCTGTACTTCCTCCAGTTCCCAATGTTCTTTTTGCAAATTGGAGCCCAAACCAAAAACTGAACTGCATATTCAAATGAGGTCTTACTAATGATTTGTACCGGGGGGGGGAGGAGGGGTGATATCTCCCTCTCTGGAGTTTATACCTCTCCTAATATAAGAGGATTTTGCTCACTTTTAGAACCCGCAGCTTGGCATTGCTGCCGCCGTATATTAAGGTTGTGATCTACTAGAACCCCCAGATCCTCCTCCACTGTTGACCCCCCAATCGTTCTCCACCATTGACACCCCAGGACTTCCTTCTCCACCACTGACCCCTACCCCTCCATATCCTTCTCCACAATTGCCCCCCTGATCCTTTTCCACCATTGACCCTCCCCTCCAGATCCTTTTCTGCCATGAGAGCCCCCCCATGATCTTTCTCCACCAATTGACCCCTATAGATCCTTCTCCACCTGTGTCTCTCCTAGATTCTTCTCCACCATTGAGCCCCCCAGATCCTTCTCTCTCCATTGTCCCCTGAGACCCTTCATCATTTACTCCCCCCCAGATCCTTCTCACCATTGACTCACCCCAGTTGTACCCCCCTAGTATGTATGATGCATATTCTTAGCCCCCCCCCCAAGTGCAGAACCTTACATTTATCACCATTAGCCCTCATTGGCCCCATAGTCCCCCAATTACACAGAGCATTGAGGTCGGCTTGTAAGTTGGAGACATCCTGTAAGGACGTTATTCCCCGGCACAGCTTGGTGTCATCTGCAAAGACTGGAATGGGGTTTATAATCTCACACCCCATATTGTTTATAAAATATATTTAAAATAAGGGTCCCAACACTTAACCTTGAGGGGTACCCCACTAATAACACTGAACCTTGGGGCACCCACTAAATAACACTGAATCTTGGGGTACACCACTGACACCCCTAGACCATTCAGAGTATGAATCATTAACCACTACTACTCTGGGGTGAATACCATCTTTTAGCCAGTTTTCTATCCATTTACATTCAGATTTTTCCAGCCCATAGAGTTTTACCTTACACATTAGCTGTGTGTGGGGAGCTGTGTCCAAGTATACCACGTCCACTGCCACCCCTCTGTCCAATTATACCATGTCCACCACCACCCCTGTGTCCAATTATACCACATCTGTCCAAGGATTTGCTCGTCACCCCTCTGTCCAAGGATTTGCTCACCTCCAATCTAACCTGTTTCATGATGGTTTAATCCCAGCTCACCTCTGCATGTTGTCTACAGTATAAACATTTAAGCTTCCACTGATTACAGAATACTACTATGTTGTACATTACAGTCCTGACCCTTATACTACTATATAACTTGTACATTACATACTCCTGACCCCTGCACTATATACTATGTTGTACATTACATACTCTTGACCCCTGCACTATATACTCTATGTTGTACATTACATACTCCTGACCCCTGCACTATATACTCTATGTTGTACATTACATGCTCCTGACCCCTGCACTATATACTCTGTGTTGCTCATTACATAGTCCTGACTTCTGCTCTCCCCCCTCCCCCCACTGCTATATATACACATAATATGGATTCTCTTTTGTTACACCCATTTCCTCCCAGCTGGACATTTTATATCGGATGATGTGATTGGAGCACAGACTTTTTACATGGTGATAATAATGTGATAACATCCTCCAACTTTGGACCCTTAAACAGAAAGTGATAATGAGGGAGGAGTCAATACCCCAATGATGGTGGTCTTCAGGATCAGTTCAGTCTTCATCTTGGTTGTTCTCCCCCCATCCTCACTCTCTGACCTCTGGTGGGGCTCAGCCCCGCTGTTCTTCATGACTAAATCATGGACTAAATAAGGAAGTGCAGTACTTCTTGTGTTGGGAAGATGGCGATGAGTGATAGAGGGGGTGGGGACCCTCGTCCTATAATCCCCTCATCACTGTCCCTCCTATAAAAGACAGTTCTGGTTGTTTCCTCACTCTCTGACTAAGGTCCATGAATAAAGAAATGACCTGGTAGGAGATCAGAGGAGCCATTTCCTAGTTCCCTTGAGGGTGGAATTGTAAGCTCCTCAGAGAGCAAGCTGCCTGATGTGGGTGGAGTCCTGGTTTGGGGGAACCAATCAGCTCCTGTCTAGTAATCCTCTTTGTCTTTGTATTTTAGTCCATGGCCGGGAGATGAGGAAAACCTCCGAGGATTGTCTCACTTTGTCTCCAGACTGGAAAGTAGAAGATGAGGACATCACAGAGTATAGTCCAGGAGAAAACCCGGCTCCCTCCAATGTCCATCCGGCACCACCCAGTGTAGATGGACCATCGGATTCCTCGTATCCTGAGGAGCCTCAGACTGTGCGGGACCGGGCCGGCCTTCCAACAGGGAAGAGATTCTATTATAATTCCGGTCTTAATGAGCTTAACAGATCTCACGCAGGTGAAAAAACCATATTCCTGTCCTGAGTGTGGAAAATGTTTTTCAGATAAGTACAATCTTTACAGACATCAAAGATGTCACGCAGGTGAAAAACCATATTCCTGTCCTGAGTGTGGGAAATGTTTTTTAGAGAAGTCTGATCTTTACAGACATCAGAGATCTCACACGGGGGGAGAAGCCGTATTCCTGTCCTGAGTGCGGGAAATGTTTTTCAGAGAAGTCCAGTCTTTACACACATCAAAGAACTCACACGGGGGAGAAGCCGTATTCCTGTGCTGAGTGCAAGAAATGTTTTTCAGATAAGTCCAACTTTCAAATTCACCAGAGATCTCACACGGGGGAGAAGCCGTATTCCTGTCCTGAGTGCGGGAAATGTTTTTCACAGAAGTCCAATCTTCACACACATCAGAGATCTCACACGGGGCAGAAGCCGTATTCCTGTCCTGAGTGTGGGAAATGTTTTTCAGAGAAGTCCAGTCTTTACAAACATCAAAGATCTCACACGGGGGAGAAGCCATATTCCTGTGCTGAGTGCGGGAAATGTTTTTCAAATAAGTCCAATCTTTCCAGACATCATAGATCTCACATGGGGCAGAAGCCACTTTCATGTCCTGAGTGAGAGAAATGTTCCTCACTGAAGTCCTGTCTTCCTGCACACATCAGGGATCCCACACAACCCTGGAGATGTATTAGTGCCTTGAGTGTGGGAAATGTCTTCTAGATGAATGTTGCTGGACATCTCAGCTCTGATGTGGGGATAGAGTGCTATGTAAATGCAAAAATATAAAAATTGTGAAAAAAGTATTTTTCTTGTAAAATATTGCAAATAAATAATATTTCATCATAAATCTTGGTCAAAATTTATTCTGTTATCTTTTTATTAAAAAAAAATAACCTAAATTAGTTTATAACCAAAAATTATAATTTTTAAACTTTTTTTCATTTTAATTTTTTTTACATTGTTATTTTTTGTGGGGTTTTTTTACATATTGTCACCCTAGCAGTACAGGGACATCATGGTGACACTGAACTACTTGTGGGGGGGTGATAAAAATTTTTTTTACACTAATTGCTTTTAAAACCCCATAAAGGCTGTAAAAGCAATCATTTCTCCTTCCTTCTGGCTGCATTCCTGCAGCCATTGAGAACTACTGTGTGAGCTGTGATTGGTCACAGCTTGTCACATGGTACAAGGCTGTTGTGAATAGCCCTGTACCATGTGACCTCTGTGATCATTCACAGATTTCACACAGAGTAAGCAATGATCTCAGAAGAGAAATCTTGCTTACTACTCTGCATGCGATCACTGATTGGCCAATCAGTGATCACATGATCGGGACCTCGCACAGAAGTCCCATATGATGATCGGTGCTCTGCGCTACCAGGGAGCGCGCAGAAGCAGGGGGTGGGGAGGCCGTTTATAAATTGCCCCCCGACCCTGCACTGCCACCGGCCGGCCATTTATATACAATAGCCAGACAGGAACAGGTTAAGATGTCCGGTGTGGTCAGTCTGCCACGGTTGTAATGGTCGGGGCCTGATGCTTCGTGTTGTTAGAGGAGCAAGTGAGTCCAGTGTGGATGACAGTGAACTGTTATAGACAGCAGTGGCCAGGTCAGGGCAGGACAGGGGAGAGATTCTGTCATAGAGTTGGTCAGTTGCAGAGTGGAAAGGAGCCGGGTTCAAGTTGTGAAGGTTTCTGCGGGTAATTGTTGGCTGCTTGGAGGGATAGGTGTTTGAAGACGAGGAGACTGTGAAGGTGATGAGATTGTGATCAGAGAGAGGAAAGGGGGTGTTTGTGAGGTTGTAGGGAGTGCAAAGATGGGAGAAAACAAAGTGTAATGTATTCCCATCAGAGTGAGTGGAGGACGGCGTCCATTGTGTTCAGGACATTTACTACAAATGACATTTTTCTTTCTTCCTATTTGAATCTTATGAAACAAAGACATAGATATTCCAATCCCCCTAAATATCCCCCCATCCCCCGCCACTAACTAAAGTCATAAAATCCGTTAGTATAGACTGATGATGAGGTGAGAAGGTGACACCTCTCCACAATGAGGGGAATGTTCTGGCCCCAGAAGTGGGGGATGTTCTGCCCCTGAAGGGGTTAATCTGGGTTCCCACACTATATATGTGTGTATCATCATCTGCTGGAGATAAAAGACGTCACAGTGACTATATGACTATGGAGGAAGGGGACGGACCTGACTACGGAGGGAGAGGAGGACGGAGAGGACGGACTGACGGAGGGAGAGGACGGACCTGACTACGGAGGAAGAGGACGGAGGAAGACATGACGGAGGTGTTACTGGGTGTAAATAGAACATAACATCTTATTACCTCCTCTGCTACCACTTCCAGCAATGTCTCCTCTCTACTTCCTGTCTGTACCTGACATCACTTCCTGTCTGTACCTGACATAACTTCCTGCTGGTATTCCATAGAGACTTCCTGTCTGGGTAGAAGTGAGATCCCCACCTTGTGGAGCTCAGAGGAACTGCAGCCCCGAGAACCATCTGGTAGTGTGACCCCGGCCTTGTGCTGGGTGTGTATGGACTGTAGATCCTTTAGAGGGGTCACCTCCACTCCCACCAAGGGGGACAGAAATATATGACTGCCTAGTCCAGCCTTTCTCAGCCAGGATTCCTCCAAAGATTTCTAGGGGCTCCTTCAGCAATGAACAATTCCTGTCTCTCTTAGTAACAAATGGCATCAATGATCTGTAAAATCCATTTCTTGGAATATATCACAGGATACAGAACATCTTTTACATTCCTTACTAACAGGGATGTCCCACCTAGAACATGAGGGGAGGACAACAAGCCAACAGGTCCCAAAAACAACCAGAAATAGGAAAGAACCTCATGCAGCAGCCTGCAAAAACCAATGTGTCCAAAGGGAAGTGTCCTTAGTGACTCCAACATCCACCTGGTAACATCATAAAGAGTGCACCGAAGACCAGGTAGAGGCTTCACCAACATGATACACTGAAGGTAGGTAGTGTCATCCCTTATAAAGGGGGAACCTGTCCTTTCATACTGGAAACTGGAACAACAAGCCGACAAATTCAGGGAATAAACGTAGACATGGAAGCTGCGGGATCCTTCTATTCGATCCTCAAAAGAGAAATCCTGTTGCCAAATTGCGGCTGTCAACTACAGGTAACCTGATAAGACAAATACCCAACGTGATAAAAACCTATTCCCCCAGTTACTGAGCCTGAGGACAAAGGAAGGTAATACACTGTCCCGGCTGAGATGAGGGTAAAGGAAGGTAATACACTGTCCTGGCTGAGATGAGGGTAAAGGAAGGTAATATGCCGTCCCGGCTGAGATGAGGGTAAAGGAAGGTAATATGCCGTCCCGGCTGAGATGAGGGTAAAGGGAGGTAATACGCTGTCCCGGCTGAGATGAGGGTAAAGGGAGGTAATACGCTGTCCCGGCTGAGATGAGGGTAAAGGGAGGTAATACGCTGTCCCGGCTGAGATGAGGGTAAAGGAAGGTAATACGCTGTCCTGGCTGAGATGAGGACAAAGGAAGGTAACGCCGTCCCGGCTGAGATAAGGGTAAAGGGAGGTAATACACCGTCCCGGCTGAGATGATGAAGGTAATACGCTGTCCCGGCTGAGATGAGGGTAAAGGAAGGTAATACGCTGTCCCGGCTGAGATGAGGGTAAAGGAAGGTAATACGCTGTCCCGGCTGAGATGAGGGTAAAGGAAGGTAATACGCTGTCCCGGCTGAGATGAGGGTAAAGGAAGGTAATACGCGTCCCGGCTGAGATGAGGGTAAAGGGAGGTAATACGCTGTCCCGGCTGAAATGAGGGTAAAGGGAAGGTAATACGCTGTCCCGGCTGAGATGAGGGTAAAGGGAGGTAATACGCTGTCCCGGCTGAGATGAGGGTAAAGGGAGGGTAATACGCTGTCCCGGCTGAGATGAGGGTAAAGGGAGGTAATACGCTGTCCCGGCTGAGATGAGGGTAAAGGGAGGTAATACGCTGTCCCGGCTGAGATGAGGGTAAAGGGAGGTAATACGCTGTCCCGGCTGAGATGAGGGTAAAGGGAGGTAATACGCTGTCCCGGCTGAGATGAGGGTAAAGGGAGGTAATACGCTGTCCCGGCTGAGATGAGGGTAAAGGGAGGTAATACGCTGTCCCGGCTGAGATGAGGGTAAAGGGAGGTAATACGCTGTCCCGGTGAGATGAGGGTAAGGGAGGTAATACGCTGTCCCGGCTGAGATGAGGGTAAAGGGAGGTAATACGCTGTCCCGGCTGAGATGAGGGTAAAGGGAGGTAATACGCTGTCCCGGCTGAGATGAGGGTAAAGGGAGGTAATACGCTGTCCCGGCTGAGATGAGGGTAAAGGAGGTAATACGCTGTCCCGGCTGAGATGAGATGGAAAGGTACAAACCCCTTTAGGTAAAAAAATAATAAATAAAAATCTAAGGTAAAAAAGCCATCTTTGTGAAAGAACAAAGGGAACAAAAGGAAGGTCCTGAATGGGCTCAAACAGAGAATTCTGTAAAAACAGAAAGAGATCCCATAGAAACAATGACAGGCTGACCGGAGGAACAACATGCATGACATCTAGTACCAACGCATGCAACTAGAAAGTGTAATGCAATCAGCCCCTGAAAGAAGAGACTGCCAAGGCTGAAATCTGACTCTTGATTATACACAAGGCCAGGCACACATTCACCCCCCACCCCAAGAAGGAAACCAAGACACGGACCAAAACAAGGAGGAAACCTCTTAGGTCAACAAAACGCTAAATATGATTGTAAAGACCTGCGGGAAGTCTCCCTAATTTAGAATTCTTAGCCTTCAAAAGAGCAGAAACAACAAAAGGCCTCAGATACTTCTGTCTCTCAAAACCTTTTTGGCTGCAATAGTCAATCCAGTATGCCCACTGACACCATAAGGCTGGAAAAATCAGGCTTTGTAACAGCAGGGCTTGACTATCTGGAGATCCTGAGGACTTGGGAAGAATCAAAGAAAAAAATGAATGAAGTATAAGGAGGGGAACAGTTCCAAAATTCTAAGGCCTGGTTCACACTGCAATAACAGCTGCCGGAGGTCTTTACCGCTCAGCCTTTGGGCTGGGTAAATTTCCCTTGCCATACCATCTGGTACCCTGGTGTATGAGGGATTCCTAGATCACAGGTGATGAGTGTAGACCGTATAGTAAGAACATACCCAAATCCACGGCACCGCTCCAACCTGTACCCCCTAATGACCACGGACCATCCAGGTGATAGCACTTGTACCCCGTCTCTTCTCCAACATGAAATCATGAATAGGAACAAAAAGATGAAGAGCTGCACTCTGCAATTAATCTGTAATTAGCTCCCTCTTAATATTTCATTCTGTTGATGATGAAATAACTCCATAAATATGATTTCCACCTGAAAAACCAAAACTCCCGAAATATGTTTTCACCCAATGGGCTCGCTCACATAGAGTAGGGTTGGGGCCACTCTATCCTTGTGAACGAGCCCATTGGGGTGACACACAGAATAAAATATGAAGAATGGGCTGATTACGGAGTGTGACTCTTCATCTTCTTGTAGACGGTATAGTCACAGATGAGAACACAGGAGACCAAGTCCATATCTC